TGCTCTATTTCAAAATAAGTGCTGTATAGATGCTCCCAATTTTGAAATAAGCTAAGGGAGATTAGAGAGACTATCAAAATAAATAACTCAATAATAGTGGGGAATTTCAACTATCCCCATATTGACTGGGTACATGTCACCTCAGGATGAGATGCAGAGACAAAATTTCTTGATACCTTAAACAACTGCTTCTTGGAGCATCTGGTACAGGAACCCACAAGGGGTGAGGTAATTCTTGATTTAGTCCTGGGTGGTGCGCAGGATCTGGACCAAGAGGTAACTGTAACAGGACCGCTTGGAAATAGTGACCATAATATAATAACATTTAACATTCCTGTGGTGGGAAGAACACCTCAACAGCCCAACACTGTGGCATTTAATTTCAAAAAGGGGAACTATGCAAAAATAAGGAGGTTAGTTAAACAGAAATTAAAAGGTACAGTGACTAAAGTAAAATCCCTGCAAGCTGCATGGACACTTTTCAAGGACTCCATAATAGAGGCCCAACTTAAATATAAATCCCAAATTAAAAAACACAGTAAAAGAACTAAAAAAAGAGCCACCGTGGCTTAACAACCATGTAAAAGAAGCAGAGAGAGATAAAAAGGCATTTTTTAAAAAGTAGAAGTCAAATCCTAGTGAGGTAAATAGAAGAGAGCATAAACGCTGGCAAATTAAGAGTAAAAATGTAATAAGAAGAGCCAAAAAGGAGTCTGAAGAACAGCTAGCCCAAAACTCAAAAACTCAAAACCAAAAAGGACGTACTTAAAAATGTTTTTAAGTACCGTACATCAGAAGCAGGAAGCCTGCTAAACAACCAGTGGGGCCCTTGAATGATCGAGATACAAAAGGAGCACTTAAAGACAATAAAGTCCTTGCAGAGAAACTAAATGAATTCTTTACTCCAGTCTTCATGGCTAAGGATGTTAGGGAGATTCCCAAACCTGACACATCCTTTGTAGGTAACAAATCTGAGGAATGATGACAGATTGAAGTGTCAATAGAGGAGGTTTTGGAATTAATTGATACTCCTAACAGTAAGAAGTCACCGGGACCAGATGGCATTCAACCAAGAGTTCTGAAAGAACTCAATGTGAAATTGCAGAACTATTAACTATGGTTTGTGACCTATCCTTTAAATCATCTTCTGTACCGAATGACTAGAAGATAGCTAATATTTAAAAAGCCAATATTTAAAAAGGGCTCTAGAGGCAATCCCAGCAATTACAGACTGGTAAGTCTAACTGATACCGGGTAAATTAGTTGAAACAATACTATAGAAAAAAATTGTCAGACACATAGAAGAACATAATTTGTTGGGCAAAAGTCAACATGGTTTCTGTAAAGGGAAATCATGTCTTACTAATCTATTAGAGTTTTTTGAAGGGGGTCAACAAACATATGGACAAGGGGAATCCAGTAGATATAGTGTACTTAGATTTCCAGCTTAAAAAAGAAATGGGTGGGGGGATATGTCAGAGGCCTAAAAAAATCATGAACAGTGTGGAAAAATAGAATAAGGAAATGTTATTAATTCCTTCACACAAGAAGCTCACCCAATGTACAGGCAGAAGATTTAAAACAAACAAATACATTATTTTTTCACAATCAATTTGTGGAATTCTTTTCCAGGAGATGGTAGAAAGGGCCCAGACTATAACAGGGTTCCAATAAGAACAAAATAAGTTGCAGGAGAATACTAGCCAGGATGAACAGGGATGGTGTCAGAAGCTGGGAATGGGCGACAGGGGATGGAGCATGATGATTACCTTTTCTGTTTATTTCTTCTGAAGCACCTGGCATTGGCGACTGTTGGAAGACAGGATACTACGCTAGAAGAACCTTTCGTCTGACCCAGTATGTCCATTCTGATGGTCTTATACAGAGCTGAAATGTACCTGCTCCCTGCTGTAACCCACTAAACACCACTCCCCTTCCAGAGCTGAGATAGAGCCCAGGAATCCTGACAGGGTCTCTTGCTCTCTACAAAGAGTTAGTTTCAAAGTAAGAATATACATTACAATTTTAAGACTAACCAGTGTCCTTTAAGTGACTTGCCACAAAATGTCAGAATATGTTAGTGTTAAAGCTGAGTGGGTCTAATATATATTTCATTATCTTTCTTGTATATAGGAATTAGATTCAGTGCTCCTGTCAGCTAACTGCTAAGTTGCCTGCCAAAAACTAAGAGTTTCCCAGTGCCTTAGTACAGTTTCTCAACCATTTTTTCATAAAGTAAAAAAATTATCAGTACTCCCAGTACCTAAAGTTTTCAGACACACCATTTTTTTCTACCATTGCAACACATTTGTTTAAACAATTCAGTTGTAGCTGGTCAGGCGTTGACATTTTTTAGTGTGAAAAGCACAAAAATAATAAAGTGCTATAAAACTTAAAACAAAAATTCAGTTTTTGTGTTGATATACCCCCCCCCCCCCCAGACATCTCAAGTACCCCTAAAGGTACTTGTACTCCTGGTTGAGAAACACTGCCTTAGTAGTCCCTGAATAGAGGTGATGTTAGTGGGGGGAGGGCGGATAGGGTTGGTTCCCCCCCATTTGGTGATTAGCTTATACTGAGCATGCTCAGTAACACTGCTGAAGCCTCTGTCCTCAGATTTCCTCCTCCCCCATGCTCTCACTCCTTTCTATCCCACCCCTCCCCAAAATCTGAAATGGCACCCATGGTCACTGCTCCTGCAAGTGACCTGTTATCAGATAGTATTTAATATAGACCATCCAAAAATAAACTGGACAGAGTCTGTTTTAGATTTGATCACACTTTCTACCATCAGATTTTGCTAAAGACAGCCTATGACTGAGACACTGACTTTAGCATCTCACCAATCTTACATGTAGCTTTTGCAATTAAGTTCTTCGGAACTAAAAACTGACCTAACACTGAAGATTTGAAATGTTGCAGAGAAAAGCACTAAGAAATGTTAGGCAATAGTAAATCAAGAGCCACTCTAGTCGCTAATCTGTAGCATTTCCTCAAACTGGTATTTTGGGCAACCTCTGGTGACTCTGGGAGGACAGGAAACTAACAAACATTTTCCAGTACCGAACTTGTTTGTGGTGATATCAGAAATGGCATGGATGGCTTCTACTACTACGCAGGAGACGTAGGAAAAACATATGCATGAATTAATGCCCGCCTGCAGGAATCAAGCTCATTACCAGTCTTACAGAGACACAGGATTCATTTCACATTGACAGCCATAAAGGAGACACTGGGCAGCAGAGATTGGACATATTACAGAGAGGACTTGGAACAGCAAGAACCCAATTCTTCATTATGCATCCCTACCAGCCGGCTTAATGAATTTTCCTTTTCTGAGGTTGCTGACGAGTTACAACAAAGCATACAGCACAGGGGGGCATATTTTCTTCTGATATAAATTTGATTTGGCTTTCCTTAAATTGTTGGTTTATGCCAGTTCAGAATTTGGCATAGAGTGGGTCTCTGCTTTTTATTGGGGAAGGGGTATTCTAATTCAATGTCTTTCCCAACATTCACATTTTCAGAGTAGGTCAAAGGCATGGACAATTAATGAAGCCCAGTAAAGGAAGATGTGCAATTAAACAAAGGGAGGTCAAGAACAAAATTGCAAAAGTTCCATATGCTTAGGGCCCTACCAAATTCAAGATCTATTTTGGTCAATTTCACAGTCATAGGATTTTTTAAATAAATTTCATTGTTTTATCTATTTAAATCTGACAAGTGACTATTTTGAACTCCATGTAAGCAGTGTCCATTAGTATTCCATGCAAAGGATAAGATCAAGGCTGAATGTTTTTCTACATCCACAAGTAAGAGCCATTTTCTACTGATCATATGCAGGAAAAAAGATCTCAGGGTAATGAAGTAATGGCTGACCAGTGCTAAGCATAGTGATATTTGGAAGTGTATTTTTGCTCAAACTCTCCAGTCGGAGACTCCATTCAGAAATGTTTACCTTTTCATAACAAATCCCTGTGCAGTGTTTGCAAGGCACCAATAGAATCTGTTTATATGAAGTTAATAAATACTAACAGAATGTAGGCTAAGTGACTAATTTAGGAAGGAACAATTTGAAAGGAAAAAAGATATTTAAGCAAAGATTCCATTCTATGGAGAGGAGTGTTTTTAGGGACTATCCATTCTCCCACCTAACTAGGAAGAGACACATGTGAAAAGGCAAGTGTTTAATCCAAGCTGGTCCCATCCTTTATTCTGACTATGAAGGCTAAAACAGCCTCGCAATAGCTTTCTATAAGTAGCGCAGATGTCATTACAACATAATAGTGTTTCTTGTGCAATGAGCTGCTAAAGTTACCTTTTAAAAATTCCACAATTTATAGATATTGACAATGAGAAATGAAAGTGCCTGAACAACTAAATTTGATTTGCAAACATCTTCATATGACATGCTCAGATATTAAGGAGAGGTTCTGAATTCTGCATGACACTGCAGAGGCACCAAGCAGACAGTTAGCCCATGGATTTGGACACCTGAGGTTTCCATATTTAAGGCAGCACAGGACCACAGCAGCTGCTTCTATACCAGGTCCCCACTGCTCCTTGTGTAGGTGGTATTTGCAGGAACAAGGGAGTACAGTGAGAATGTCAGTGTCTCTCAGTGATCCCTGGACATCAAAGCAAATCTTAGTAGCAACTGGCAGCAGGTGGAAAACAGAGCAGACCTATAGCTTTTCTACTGTGTGCCAGCCTCTGCCTCCCATCCCGAGCTACAAAGTACATCTCAGTAAGTGGGCCAGTAAGCTCCATTTTGATTCTAGCTTTGAGAGCCAGTGCTGCAATGGAAGAGGGTGCCAAATGTCTAGCTACTAGAGAGGCATTCTTCCTGTGGAGAAAGTCCAGTTAAAAAATAATTACAAACAGTATATGCACAGGTCAAAAAACAACAAACTATAAACAGAACACAATTACAGTTTTTAATGTAGAAAAAAGACAGGCTTTCCCTTGTCTCCACCTCTCCCTCTCTGCAAGCTCCTTACCCTATGTATGATCTCCTCCATCCCTTCTGATAGCCTATGCTTCTCCCCTTGGCCCTCTCAGCCATGCCCCTTCCATCATCCACAGCCAGTGCTTGCTTGTCTCCTAACTACTGACATTGGCTAAAAGAAAAAATGGGGAGAAAATAATTTTGCAGGGATGTTTTGAAATGCAAGCTGTCAGTGATATCACAGCTTGTATTGTCTTTTCCTGCTTTGGAAAGGGAGTGAGTGAATCATCCTGGGGCATGAAGAGCAGAACTGACAGACTAGAGAGTCACTGTGTAAATTAGCACCTGAAATAGCAGTCAGTGTGACTGACTCTGATGAGAATATCAGTTCAAGCAAAGCATTTCATTCATGAACATTCAGTCATTTGGATGATTATGGAAAGGAAGAAAGGCTAGGCTGTACATCAGCCATCCTGGACTGAGTCACATTTTTAACAAAAGATAAGCTGCATCCATATTAAGTGCTCTTGCAAGTCTTTTAATAGGTTTGAATGCTGGATGTGGTGATATCTATATGTCTGTATTTCTCTTTTCTCTTCCTTGGAGACAGTGTGCAGAAATGCCCCAACATGAACAAATCAACATTTACAAAGTCTGGGAGTTAGGTGCCCAAACACCTGTGGGATTCAGTGGACGATGGGAAACCATGTCCTTAGGCTCCTTTGAAAATCCTACCCTAAAATCTTAGTACAGAATCAACAGGATGCAAGGAATGGATAGCAGTTATCATTGCCTGTAATGTTGGGACCTAGACAAACAGGAATAGACACATTAGAAAGGGACTCAATAGGAGACATTGCTGAGTGTCCTATGACTCATACAAAACTATTGTAAAAAGAAATCCAGAAACACTTTGGGACCAATGTGCTCATGGATTACAGAATATAAGGTGGTCCTCACAGATTCATTACTGATAACATTTTTAGTGTTTGTTGATCAAAAACATATATGTAGCATTGACAGTGTTTTTTTCTGGATGACCAAAAAAAAAAAAAAAGGAAAAGATAGAAAGTGCAATTTAGAAGTGTCTGAAGATGTGGAAAGCTTGTAGCCCCAAGGGGTTTTCACTGCCAGCCCTTTTGATATTTAATCATCTTATCACAGTTGGTCTGAGGATACCATACCAGGAAAGACAAATTGAAAGCTTGTAGAGGAGAAGTGAAACTGGAAGATAGGGCTGGTCTACACTATGACATTAGGTGAACATATGCTACATTAGGTCAAGTTAATAATATATTTGTCCACACTACTGAGCCCCTCCCACTGACCTCAAGGGCTTGTAAAGTTGACTTCAGTACTGTGTACCTGCAAACAGTGCAGTGCTACAGTTGACATCCACACATTTACATAGGGGTAATGTAGACACTGTGCCGTAAAATTCAAAGGCATTGGCCTCCAAGAGGTGTCCCTGCGTACTGCAAAGTGACCACTCTGGAGAGCACTTTCAACTGCACTGCACTTCAGCCAGGTACACAGGAAACAGCTGCTCCCCTGTTAATGCCTCAGGAACTTTTGAATTTTTATTTCCCATTTGATCAGTATGCAGAGTTCACCAGCTCAGCTGACCATGGATGTCTCAGGCTGTACCCAGGCTTCAGCATGGAGCACATTGGAGACACTGGTTCTTAATGATGTGTGGGGAGAAGAGTATGTGCAGGCAGAGCTCCAAACCAGCAGAAGAAATGCAAACATCGATGCCAAAATTGCACAGGGCAATGGTTGCAGTGGGAACTTATAGCAGTGCCACATGACAAAAAAAGGTGCTTAGGCAAACATACCAGAAGATAAAGGAGGCAAACAGTTGCTCTGGTTCTGAGCCACAGACATGAAGCTTCTAGGAGGAGCTGAATGGGATTCTAGGCGATGACCCCACTGCTACCCCAAAACTGTCTGTGGATAGTTGCCAGGAGATCCAGCTGACCTTGGGCAACAACAAGGAGGACACTGTTAATGAGGAAGATAAGGAGGAGACTGTGCAGCACTGTAAATATCTGGATCAGTGGGAGGCCACACTGACTCACTACACTGGCCGGCTAAACAGGGATTTCCAGCTCCCTGGCCCTAGCCATGGGTGAGGTCTCAAACAGGTTGGGACTTAGCAGCAAACTGCCAGTCTCTGGGAAAGAATTAATGGACACAATTCAGATATCAAAAAGGCAACACACAGAAACCTGTTGGAGAACACTTAATCTTCCTGGACACTCACTAAGGAATCTCCAAGTCACGATTTTGTTTCAGGCCAATTCCACAAGCCAAATACACAGAGAGGGTTGGAACTTAACTTCATTCATAAGTTTAATTCTTATGCAAATGGTATGAACAGGGACATCAGCTGGCTCACACACTACCTTCCACATCCTAATGACTTAACCAACCAACCAAACAAGGGAGGTGCTAATTGTTCTTATCAGCTTCTTGTAACTATTTGAACCATCTACTGATGTCTCTCTTTTTTCCCCTTCCCTTCTTTTTTGCCTCTTTTTTTCCTTCTCCCCCTCCTCCTTCCCTTATTTATTCTTGGATATGGACTTCTAATACTCCAGTCATTTGAAGAAGTGGATTGTGTCCACAAAAGCTCATGATACCATCAACATATTTTGTTAGTCTTTAGGGTGCCACTAGACTATTTGTTGTTTTTTAAGTTTTTCCTGTTACAGACTAACTCAGCTAACCCTTTAAAGCTTTTCCTAGATTAGACAGCAGAAAAAGAAGACTCGGGAGGACATTTCAACATTCATGCCTCTGAGACTGAAGAGACACAGCTCAGCAGATGGAGGATTGCACTGTTGGAGAGAATGGAGGGAACACAGACGTGCCATACAGGATAACATGGTGTGCATTATGAGGGAGCAAACAGACATGTTGTGGCATCTGGTTGAGGTTCAAGAAAGGCAGGTGGATGCTCGAATCCTCTTACACCCATTGATGAACCTACTGCCCTTGTCACCAAGTTCCGCATTCCCCTTCCTCAGATGTCTTAGGTTAGGGGCAGGGAAGGCTCCAGTATCCCTTGTACGGAACTCCAGGGGCTGGTAGAAGGAGCAGAAGGCGCCCATTCCCCACAGCTTTGATTGTTATTGCAGTGCAATTATAAGCAACCTGTCCTTGTTTCTCCCCCGACCCCACAGTGTTTTCAGCCTGTCAGCTCCAGGCTATCTTTACTCTTCTTTGCTGTGATAGGATAGCATCACTTCACTGTATATCATTGAGGAAACTGATTTTCAAACACTCATGGAGAGAGACAGTGCACCTTGATGCGCTCTTCTTATTGCCAAAGTGTCTGGTTGCTCAAAATTGGGTGCCAGCTGATCTGCCTCAATCCCCACCCTGCCAGAAACTTTTCTCCCTTAATTTCACAGATATTATGGAGCACACAGCAAGCAGCAACAATGGCAATACTATTGTTGAGGTCTAACCTAGTCAATAAACTCCACCAGCATCCTTTTAAATGTCCAAATGCACATTCAACACCATTTTGCACTTGTTGATCTGCTCCTTATTACTGTCAAGGATGCCTGTGTACAGCTTTATGAGTATGGGAGCAAGGGCTAGGCTGGGTCACCAAGGATGACTATAGCAAGGTGGCTTGGTGCCAAGATAGGAGCATGCATTCTGTCTATTGCTTGACCATAGTTAGGGAATCTCACTGCACCAAAACCAGCAACTATGTCCTGCATGTTTCCCAGAGTCATTGCTCTTCTTAGGAGAAGCGTATTGATTTTTGTAGCAACTTCGATCACAGCAGCCATCACGGTGCAGTTACGCACTCTGAATTGATTCCCCATTGTCTGGTATGCCACTAGCTTGTCAGCTGTCAGAGCAAGTCTCATTTTGGTATTGCTGCACTTCAGGGTTGGGGAAAGCTCTCACAGTAGCCTTACTCACTTGAAATCTCTGGAGCCACTGTTGCATAACATGCTGCATAACTATGCAGCCCCACCAGTCAGTGTTTGTTACTTCAGGGCCCAGAAGCAGAAATCCACCATGTCAAAATGTGTGACTATCACCAGCTTCTGCAAATTGGTCCAGTCCATGGCTTCCATGTTTGAGTGGCATCACATTATTCCACATGCTGGCTTCTGCTTAACCTCTGCAAATACCACAGCATAATGCATGAGGTGTTTGTGATGCTCCTAACAACAGTGTACAGCTGAGTGGGGTCCATGCTAGGGCATCTGAAGGGGTAACACAGGCTTAGGAAAAAAGGCATTTTTGTTTGGTTTGTCTGCATCTGATTTCAGAGAGGGTGGGAGGTAAGTGTATCATGGGAGGCTAATGCCATGTACCCATAACCACCTGCATCAATGTTATCATCCCATGGGCACTGAGAGCCCAATCATACATTCCATTCGGCTCCAGTCCCTGTGGGATAGTGACCCACAGCATATTGCTCCGTGAGCCTATGCAAGTCCTGATAGTGGGGATACTTGCTGCCGACAAAGTGTGCATGGTGGGGACATGCAGAGCTGACTTGCTTAAAGCAGAGGCTCCAAGGATTATAGAATAGTCAACTAGCCAATAAGAATTCATGAGGTTACTCAACTATTCAATTAACTGATATTTAACATCCCTAGGTTATAGAGGTGGGATTCACCAAAAAGGGCAACTTCTTCATTGGACTTTGTCTATACTGCAGTTAAGAGGATTAGAAATATATTGAAAATGAGATTCCCCTGACTATAAGATTTGGGGCTTGAAAAAAGAAGAAAAAAGAAAAAAAAGAAATCACAAGACTTGCAACAAATTGTGAGTAAACAACAAAAGCCTTTTCCCTGGTTCTATATTTGTGACTCTTTTCTTAATGGACCTTGTTTTCTCAGAATATTTTCCTGAACTTTCACAGCTGTAATATCTCAAGTCCCATAAAATGTGTCTAAGCCAATATTAACAAGGAAGTGAGGAGCATAAATATTCCTTTATAACTTAAATCATTATGATAGAGTGTTAACAAATGTTACTGAAAGCTTCTAGTAAATAATGAGTCCGGTAGCAAAATAGTGTATACTAAAGCATATCCCCGGAAGTATGGATACACAAGGTTTCCTGACTGCACCCCTAGATTTGCTGCCAAGCACCGCAACAGGTCTTGGTGGGCTCTGGCATCCATGGGCG